TCAAATGCAATTCTGAATTTTATAGGTAAGTAAAGTGCACTTAATGAAAAAGAATCATAATAAAAATGACCATAAAAAAAATATATAAATAAGATAAGTACCAGTAGAATATTTAACTGCAATAAACCTGCTAAAAAGTGTGATAATTATTGCAAAAAACCCAACCTATAGGGCTTTAGCTTCAGCTTAATCATCCCAGGGATTTCCCGGTCTAATAGTAATATTGTCGCGATATTGGCCAGAAAACCAATATCAGATTATATCAGCCTGTATCTTTAATCTCTGATATTGTCCTGCTGCTGGAAAAACTCTGCTTCTGTTTAAAGTTTACTTAATTCCTTGGTTAATAAATTAATCACTAGTGAGAACTAGTGATCCAACCTTTTCTAACATTCTACAGTGAAACATATGTAACAAAAGCACGTATGAATCGTACTAATATCCTATCAGGTTCATATTGGTATGAATCCCTTTTTAATGCGACAGTATTGGCATCGTAATGGAAATGAAACATTTGTAGTGAGACAAACTTTTTATAAAGGACAGTTTGATCTCGCCTCGTGAGACCATCCTGATCTCGCAAGCTTTCAAGATTTCACTCGCTAAACAGTCTGGAGACTCTCCGTTGAAGAAAATTTGGAGCCGTTCACCAAACGAACGTCCAATCAGCGTTGGCTTTGAGGCGGATTGAGGTGTGATGCAACGAGAAGCGCGACAGTTCAGTCTAAAGAACATGGCGGCTTCAGCCGATGAAACTAGCGTTAGCGTGGCTATCGAGCAAGTTTTATCGGAATTACAGAGTATTTCTTCACAGAAAGAAGGGCAAAACACTGCTCTGGAGGCTTTTCTCAGAGGAAAATATGTTTTTGCTCTTCTCCCGACTGGTTTCGGCAAGAGTTTGATCTATAAATTGGCTCCTTTTCGTCGTCGCTCTGTTACATCATATGCTTCGTTGATCTGATTGGTTTATTTGGCCCGTCTATCACCAACATAGGCAATCAGGTAACCAGTATTTTCGCCCCTTCCCAAAATTACTTCAACCGAAGGTTTCCAGATGGATATGCGGAGCAAATCCATCTGGCGGAGTCAGGTTAAAGGTATACTATGCAACCGGTGTTGATTTTCCAGCGAGGCTCACCCCAGAGGGCGAAAGTAAAAGTGCACTGTCGTAAATATGCACAGCTGTTCTCCTGGTTTCTCTGTCAAGCCAGGTGCGGTTGTTTTGAGCTTAGCAGACAGGCGAACGCAACGAATGACTAACACAGTGAAAGTATGAACATGCACACAGAGAGAGAGAAACCATTCCAATGTTACTTACAATCTCATCAGCAGAAACGCGAGGTCCGCGTCAGCCTTGCAGCCTTCTTTTTATTTTAGCTCTCGCCATTCGGAAAAAGCTTGCCCGATGTTCACCCGTGTACGACTCCTCTCTCTGTCCGGAGCCCTTTTCCTCTTTCTTGCCTGCTCCGACATGGGCTTTCGCTGTTTTCACGCTGGTTCCGCCATGATAACTGCACAAAGATCGCCACTGTGCTAGCAACGAGCATGCTTTTAACTGGGGGTGTGTAGCAGTTCTCGCCGTAAAGCAAGACCGACTCTCGCGAGACTTCTGAGCCTGTGGGTGCGGGCCGAGGGCTCCTGCAATTGCAAGTGCGGTATTTCCCCTACAGACCACCAGGGCGGCCGAGACCTTTGTTTAACCTGAAATGACTCATTTAATCATCCAAAATGTTATGGAACACATTAATTAACTGAAAAATGTTGCATAGTGTGCCTTTAAGTTTGATCCACTTTATGTTGCCGAATTTGTCATCAGTGCTCAGTTTTGAAGGTTTGACACCTGAAATAAAACACAGAATCAGATCTAGCCTCCATTAAGACCTTTAGATGAGGACAGATTATGATAACCATAGTTTTAAATTGTGTTGCACTGATACCAATACCACTATCAGGCGGGGCCCCGATCCAGCAGTAAAATGGTGGTATCAGTATCAGTGAGTACCAACACATAGTGCACCGATACCATTTTGAGAGCCAAATGTTTATTCAACTATTGTCACCCATTCCAGGTAGGAAATAAAAAGTTCTACTGGATTCACTTTGTATTAGTCTGTCAGCTTGACAAAGCCATGATGGCAATTATTTTACATCCAAGTTAGGGCTGCAACAACGAATCGATAAAATCGATAAAAATCGACTTTTAAAAGCGTTGGCAACGAATTTCATCATCGATTAGTCGTGTCGCGCGATTATTGCGTCATCCGCTGCGCCGTCATCACTGCCTCTTGACTGAAAGAGGAAGGAAAAAAAATACGGCAGAGCGAGTCAGCGCCGCAGGAGCAGTGTTGCCAACTCCGCGACTTTTCAGACCCCTCCAGCGACTATTTTTCAAAAAAGCGACTAGCGACAAATCTGGCGACTTTTTTCGGTGTCACTGGTGGCTTTTGGAGACTCTTACGTGAAAGCATGTATCATTCCTACTCTGCCGTGGGGCGCCTCCCCCACCCCAACCGCGTTTTCCCGCAGGAGTCCCTCTCAGTCAGAGCCTCAGCGTCCAGACTGCAAATGAAGTGCGCATGCACCGGGATTGACGGCGCAAATTGATCACAATAATTAAAATAGCCTGCGCTTTGTAAAGTGAAAAAAGTGATAACATGCAACTTTTTTCAAAAGAAATTAACATGGCACGGAACCACCATGTTTGTTTGGTTTTAAAGTGGGGAAACGTTACGTTAGTTTCTCAGGTAGCTCATCTGATGCTTTCCTTATCTTGTTAGTAGGTTACAGACAGTGATAAGGTTGGCTACTTATTTTACTTTAAATTTCATTTGAACTAGCTTAAGCAGCGTTTACATTTACTTTATAAATAAATTAACTTGCAAATTATGAGGGCAAGACTTTTAAAGTTTAAATCTGGCAAAGATAAAGTAAAGATGATCCTGCAATTTATAGAAGTAAAGCAGAATAAAATCCAGCAAGATCAGTAATATGTCAATTAATTATATGCCACATTCCCATGTAAATATCTGTCTTTGGAGGATGTGTTTTTTAGCACCCCTAGTTCTCTCATTTTTATTCCAAATACAATTTATAATTTGAATCACAGGGCTATTTTTATCTCTATGGTTCAGTATTTTCTCAAGTAGCAACTTTAACTGCTGTACTTTCCTGTCTTAAAAGGCAGAACTCTTCTAGTCTAAAAAAAACTCATTTGTTGAAATGGGGGGGCCTATTGTTTGAACCCCTTAGAGGCTTTTAAAAACAAAAATGTCTTTTTTTGCGCTTTATGAAACAAAGTACCCTATATTTTGTGGATGTACATCTACATTTCTCATGTAAGTTTGCGTAGTTTTAACACAAACATTTATTTTTCATATTGCACCAGTACAGTTAATGAGCAACCTGTACTTGTGTGCTTGTTTGTTCTGTCTATAATGTTTATTCTGGAATAAAGAGGTTAATATAAAAAATATTTTTTGTCCGATTCATCGATTAATCGAAAAAATAATCGTCCAATTCATCGATTTTTAAAATAATCGTTAGTTGCAGCCCTAATCCAAGTAGTATGCAGGTCTTCATATACACACACATCAATTTCAAACAGATGGTATCGGTATCGTAGCCTGGGTGCCATTCCGAACTTAGTCCCGCCTACAACGTTTGAGGTTGGGAAGTTCGGTCTGGCATTGCTCAATAGTAGTGCGAGTATGCTCACACAATATCTGGCGGGCCAATCAAATTGTCAGGGCGGGCTTTATACGATGATGGACAGATGATCAACAGTAACGTAATCAACCACGTCACCAAAGCGCGCTTGGGTGACAACAACAATGGCTGCCGCTGGAGAGTTGAGGTGTGTAGATTCTGCTATTAGGTCTGTTCTAGAAGATATCGACAGCAAATTAATTTTAAAAGAGGAACAGAGAAACGCGATCAAGGCTCATCGTCTTATTGTACGCATGCAACTGCACGCTTTGATTTTTGTTGACAACAACTATGCATTGCTTAACATATGTCACGCACTCTGTTGCTCTTATTGGTTGTAGGTCTATCCAATTGAGTGCAGAGGCATATTTTTTCCTGGTTCGTTCGAAACACGCCCCATAATCACAGCTCTATGGAGCAGTATCAGACTCATATTCTGACTAGAATTGAGTAGGACTACGTCAGGCTATCGGTATCGGCCAATACTGCACAGACAGGTATCCGGGCCAAAAAATGGCATCAGTGCAACACTAGTTTTAAAGTCAAATTTAGTCCAATAAGGCGAGCAGAGTTTGTAAGGTTTGGAATGCTTCTTATTTTAACATAGAACCGTGGAAGGTTTCAGCTCTTCTTTATCCAGTTTTGCTCATTTTGATGTAGAGAACAAAGTAACTTCCTGGGCTGTTTAACCTTGATCCTGCAACAGAGGACTTCTACTTGCTGTCATGCTTAAAGTAATTGGATCAATCCTTAGGCTTTAATTAGGGACGATCAGGTGATCAAGACCAGGAGTGGGGTCACAGCTTAACCTCATGGTATAAATGAAGCATCATCACCTAAAGCCTCATACCCTGTGTGTTACCACAGAAGGCCTGGTGCAGGCCAGCATCTCTTGAGCTGAGATGCTGTGGATCTCCAGTGAACATGCAGAAGCGCACTTTGCCTGTTAGAGCGCAGCTGCAGCTCTGAGCGCCTGTTTATTGAATAGGGAAACTACAGTGGAGGGAAACCCCACAACTTCCCATCTTCCACAGAGCCGCTCCTCCTCAGGGCAAACACCTCATGGCTGCAGCACCAGACAGCAGCAGCAGCAGGAGAAGGAGGAGGAGGTGACGTCGCGCTGGATCATAACAGAGACCACCGTGCGTCTGCAGACCCTTATTCCTATCACCGGAGTGACGTCACTCTGAGCAAAGAATAGGCTGTAGTGGCACCACTGTACCTGCAGCCCCACATCAATGAAGCGTTAATCTGTTATTAATAAGAGCAGAATAACATGGAGGTTTAAACCTTACCGTACAAAGCATTCCGCGTTATCTGCCCACCCATAGCTTTATTCCTTAAGGTCCCTTTGACGCCTGCGTGGATTAAAACAGCCTCTATTATTCAGAGGATGCTGCTGTGGAAACGACACGGCGGCCGTGACATGATTGCATCCAAAGGTGTCCTGTGGGTTCTCTCCTCCGAAGCGATACAAAAGCAGGATCAAGAGAGAGAGAGAGGAGCGCACACCTCCGCGTACCGAGCAGCAGAGGGGCGCACATCCCCCCCACACTCACACACCCTCTCCCCTCAGTCCGCCTCCTCATTCAGGGAGCGCTTCCCCGCCTCGGGTCCCGCTCACTTCCACTAGCATTTACATAGAGGGAGGAGAGCTGGAGCTGAGCCCTGGTTAACACTGTCACTGCCGAGCAGAGGGGATATTTATGGGTCAGGAGGGGGAGGCGTCACTCAGGAGGACAATAACAAGCTCTAATATGGCAATATATGGATGGCTTTTTCTTCTATTATTGTTCCAAGCAACATTTTTTTTCTATTGAAATAATAAAAAAAATAAAAATAAAAAAATGTAACCCAGAACTGAAACTTAGACCAACAACTTTTAACTTTGCTGTTTTCTCAGATAAATTCAAACTACTGTTAAGTTTAACTTTCAAATTTCATTTAATTTAAATTGATGCCTGTTGTTGCTCATAAGCAACAAACCACTTGTATTACACTGCAAAAAATGTAAATCAAAGTCATTTTTTCCTAAAATAAGAGCTTTTTTCTATTTATTGAGCAGGTAATTGAGACACTGCCATCGGAACAAGACAATGTACATTTAAAATAAGAAAAAAAAACACAAATGCAGTCTCTCATTTCAAGTGCATAATATGCAATTATCTTATTTTAAGGGTAAAAATGCTCATTCCATGGAAAGATCATCTTATTTCTTCCTCATATTAAGGTTAAATATACTTATTTTAAGATCTTTTTACTAATTTTCAGAATATTTTTGCAGCGTAGCGTTTCTGCATCACCCCATTGCTAGTCACAGTGTATGTTATTATGTAGTTACTGTATAACTGCTGTTACAAAATATACTTTACCTTCATTTCTCTTTATTTAGTAATATTAACCATTTTTATTTGGCATCTCATTGAAGTGGAAAAACACGCACAAAATGTATTTTTTTATGTACATGTATATCAATTAAGGCTTCAAGGGGTTAAGTTTTTACTGAATTTTAAACTTACAGATTTTATATTTTTATTGTAATATTTTATTTGTTAAAATTTTTTATTTCCTTTTTCATATTTAGTGTTCCGAATTGCATTCTGTTCAGTTCGATTTACAGATCACATTCTCTTCCCTTCAAGCCCAAAACACATGCTTGCTCTTAACCGAAAAAAATGTTGTTACAGGTAAGATTTTTAGTGAATTTTTTTAAGAGACGTGCCCTCTCCACTTTGAATAAAATGCATATGCACAACCCTGACCCCCCCCCCCACCCAGAGGGAACGTCTATTAAACACGTGCAAGAGCATGAACGAGCCCATTACTCCTTGTGCACCCTCTGTTTAAAAGTTGCTGTTTGCATCACTCATACAAGCTTACTTTTCAAAAGATTTGCAATTTTTCCACTATGTCAGACTCACCAGCGGTAAGTGAAAATGTGGATGAGCACGTAGGACAGCCTTAGGTAAACATATCACCAGAATGATTGACAATTAGGAGGACCACTTATTTTGATGATCCACCCAGAAAAAGAACATCCTTAACCTTTAACTCACATGCAGACCAAAAGAAACGCATCTTTGCTTTTCACTGTAGAGGAGGAATGCCCTAGCCTGGGTGCCATTCCGAACTTAGTCCCGCCCACAACGTTTGAGGTCGGGAAGTTCGGTCTGGCATTGCTCAATAGTAGCGTGAGTATGCTCGCACAATATCTGGCGGGCCAATCAAATTGTCAGGGCGGGCTTTGTACGATGATGGACAGATGATCAACAGTAATGTAATCAACCACGTCACAAAAGCGCGCTTGGGTGACAACAACAATGGCTGCCGCTGGAGAGTTGAGGTGTGTAGATTCTGCTATTAGGAATGTTCTAGAAGATATCAACAGCAAATTAATTTTAAAAGAGGAACAGAGAAACGCGATCAAGGCTCATCTTCTTATTATAGGCGTGCAACAGTACGCTTTGATTTTTGTTGACAACAACTATGCGTCGCTTAACATACGTCACGCACTCCGTTGCTCTTATTGGTTGTAGGTCTATCCAATTGAGTGGAGAGGCATTTTTTTTCCTGGTTCGTTCGAAACACGCCCCATAATCACAGCTCTATGGAGCAGTATCAGACTCATATTCTGACTAGAATTGAGTCGGACTATGTCAGGCTAGGAATGCCCCTAGATGTGCAGAGAATGTAATCTGTAAAAAGCTAATTAAAAAGAATGCAGTTTATAAAACTTGTCAGTTATATGTGTGGAATGATTTTATGATGCCCTTAAAGTCTTAAAAGTCATATTTGAATGTCAAATCATTCTGGCTGACAGTGTTGACTGTTTGATTGAAATCAGCAGAACCGTTTCTAATTTGCCTAAAGTGTTTTAATCCGGCAAAATACTTACTCATACTTGTTACTCCACTCAGGAAAGGAGTAACGAGTACAATATGTGATCGTACTCGTTACTCCTTGAAGCACATTTTGCCTAATTTTTGCCAGAGGTCACAAAAGCCTCAGACACAAACATCTTGTTGTAAAGCATGTTTCATTTTTCATCTTCTAATCTAAAGCAACCATTGGATTATGTTTAATGTGTGAACACTGTGGACTTAATTATTTCAAGTCAAAAAGTCTTCTGTGGCTAGATGCACCAGAAGTACGACAGAGTATTAGGGCTAGGCTAGAGACATTTTTTTTCTTCTATTTCTTCTATTTTTCTTCTATTTACAAGAATAAACTCGTAAAATAATTAGAATAAAGTTACAACATTACAAGAATAAAGTCGTAAAATTATTAGAATAAAGTCGTAACATTACAGGAATAAAGTCGTAAAAAGATGATAATAAAGTCGTAAAATTCAGAGAATAAAGTCGTAACATTACGAGAAGAGAGTCGTAAAATTCTGAGAATAAAGTTGTAAAATAATGAGAATAAAGTCGTAAAATTACGAGAATAAAGTTTTAACATTACGAGAATAAAGTCGTAAAATTATGACAAAAAAGTTATAAAATTACGAGAATAAAGTCCTAAAATTACGAGAAAGAAGTTGTATTTTATGACAACTCTTAAGAGAAGGACTTTCTTCCCTAAAATGAGGAATGTCAAGCATCAAGTGAAGTTATACTTTGGCTCTGGTTTGACAAATAAGGAAATCTTTTATCAGCAGCATCAAATTGGGCAGAATGTCAAAGTGGACTCAGGTTGCTGATTGGTGGAGCTGGTCGGCCTCCATCTGCTGGTCGGAGGTTGAAGCTTCTTTCTGAAACAGGTTGTTGTATTATGACTTTACTTTCATAATATTACAACCTTTTTCTTGTAATGTTACGACTTAAAGGAATAGTACACCCAAAACATGATTAGCCTTCATTTTCTACTCACCCCACTGCTGAACAACACTCTGGAGTACTTTTTTGATATCTCAAATGCATCTGGAGATCTGGGAGGCTTCTTGCTGTCTGCTGACATTCAAATAATGGAGGTATGGTGACCGAGACAGAAAGGTCCATAAAAGTCCACAAAAAACGTGTCAATATTCCTCCATACTGCTCATCCAATGTATTCCAAGTGTCCTGAGTGGGTAGCATCCAGCATTTACTCGAAACGAAGTCATTTAGAATGTTTTTAGAGCATAAACAGTAGTGTATAGGATTTCCTGAAAGCGCGCACATGCGTGTTCACGACGCTACGGAAGCCTGCAGACCAAACCAGATGAAAGTGCGCATTCAGCGTCTGCTCTGCCAATAATGCAAGCGTAGAAGAAGAAATGTGCTGTTTACCTGTGCAAAGAAAGAAACAACGAAAGAAAAATGTCTGAGGACTTCAGTGTTGAGGAAGAGCATGAGTTCTTTGCCGAGCTGAATGCGCTGGTTTGGTCTGCCGGCTTCCGTAGCGTCATGATCGCGCATGTGCGCGCTTTCAGGAAATCCTATACACTACTGTTTATGCTCTAAAAACATTCTAAATGACTTCGTTTCGAGTAAATTCTGGATGCTACCCACTCAGGACACTTGGAATACATTGGACGAGCAGTATGGAGGAATATTGACACGTTTTTTGTGGACTTTTATGGACCTTTCTGCCTCGGGCGCCACAGACCTCCATTATTTGAATGTCAGCAGACAGCAAGAAGCCTCCCAGATCTCCAGATGCATTTGAGATATCAAAAAAGTACTCCAGAGTGTTGTTCAGCATGGGGGTGAGTAGAAAATGAAGGCTAATCATGTTTTGGGTGTACTATTCCTTTAATTATCAAAATAAGAAAAATAAAAAAATCTCTAGCCTGGCCCTAATACTCCATCGTACCATAAGAATAAAAACAGGTTTTAAAAACTTGGAAAAAAACTGCAGATATACTCTTAAGTGCATTGGCCATACTTAGCAAACAACAATTTGTCAAAAAAGAACCATTATATTGTCCTGCAGATAATTTCACTCAATTCAGTTCAGAAATACTTTATTGATCACAAATGGAAGCATTTGGTGTTGGAACAAGATAGGAAGCGTTCCCCATCACTGGATCCATCTCCTCGGTCAGGCTGAGGTTGAAGAGGATTTGTTTGACACCAGCAGTGGGCACAACATTAATCATATCTAGGAACATGTTCATATTAGGTAAATGCACGACACCAATATGTTTTTCACAATTAAAAATCTGGTAATTTTTCAGGGACTGCTTCTGGAAAGGTTTTTAGCCTTTTGCCTCTCAGCACGGAGTGCTCAGGCTTAAAACCTGATGGGGGATTTCCAGGTTTGTCTACTTTACTCAAGCTCATGCTGCATCTACTTCCTGCTTAGAAACTTGCACACTAACTTCATATAAAGATTATACATTCCCCTGAAAACCAGTACACACTGTGCCATTGTCAGAAATAGTCAAACTGGACTTAGAAGTGTTGCACTTTCTGAGCTCGGCCTCATAAATTAACTCCTGTAGTTGCCTGCTAGAAGAAGCTACAACTTGTTGCTTCACTGATATGACCTCACAATAAGAGATTTTATTTTGAAATACCGAGAAGTGTTTCCATCTCTAATGGAAGATGGGTTTGAAAAGGAAATCTGCTAAAATGTCTTCATGAACAACTCCAAACTAAAAAGTTCAGTGTTTGTGGCCATTACTGACCTTAAAATTCA